TTGCTTTTTATTTTACTTTCTCCATCTCAAGTGAGAGCCACAGTTTACTGAACCTGCAGAAAAAGTGCGGACTTCTGGACAAAGCAACATTTTTAACACCAAAGCAGGTGCAACACAATCGACCAGAGAACCGCTGCAAAGCAATTAAAAACAACCTTTACCATTTTTTGGGATCCAGATGATTTACTGAGTTGAATCAAGGTGTCATGGTCCCCTTAAAACGCCAAAAAACGGGTTTGGAGCTCCTCAGGATATTTATTTTTCTCTAGAAGTCTGAGAATTTGAAATCCAGATCAACCCCAAATTCCTAGAATTTCCGCTCCCATCCTAGAATGTCTTATGCATTTTTTTTTGCGGCGGCTACCCGACGCACGCCACCGTATCCCATAGCGGTGGTCACTTTCGCATTCTTTGTCTGCGATTCGGAGATTCGGATCGCCTAGGGGAAAAGCCGAAAAGCTCATTTTTGCTTGCTATCCGTTCCCCCTCTCTTCTCTCTCTCTCTCTCTTTTTCATTTCACGTATCCCTCCCTATCCCTTCCGGGTCGCGTAAAAATGATTTATCCCCGCCACTCCTATGCACGGATGGACCCGGGCTGGGCCCGGCCGGGGAGACGCCTAGTTACAAATGACGGACGGCTAAGTGGCTGGTCACGGGTTTGCATTGGTTTTTGTGAGGGTTTTGGGTTTGTTTGCTCTGGAAGCTTTGATTGGGGAAATACGGTAGTACCAATTACGCAGCCATACTAGCTCTCCGGCTCGTCTTGTTGTGGGTATCCAGGGTTTACTGTATACCGGGCTTATTCAATTTTTACAAAATTTCTTAGGTGAGATCCGGACGTTTATTAAATAGCTTAAAATTAAACAATAAATCTTACTATATATAAAAAAATAGTGTCTGTGTGTATGTCTGTGTACATTTGCATGCAACTTCCGTCAGGTTGTTCCAGTAGTATCTCAATAAGGGGAGTAGTTAAAGGCATGTTTGATACGTCATTAGGTGCGTAATGGCCTGGGGATGACTGCAGACCAATAAAATTTTCAAAAATGAGCAGTTTACGACGTTAAAATTAAGTTTTTTGTTGAAGAATGGGCCACCCTCTTTGTTAGGAAACAATTAGCATACGCCGGAAGTTGCGGTAGCCTATATAAGGCAAGAGAGGTAGCGTTTCTCATTTTTATCATCGAAATGCGAGAATTATGAAAGTGAAGAATATTAGCTTGAACAGAGCAGAGGTTGAAAAGTTTCGCTGGGCTGGCTCTTCAACCCTGGTATGCTCCTAAAAGTGAGAAAATCTTAAGCATTGGATAATTAAGGTAAGGCTTGGAAATTTTAGCTATAAGTAATCAATCTCAAGAATTTGGCAACAAAACCGCTGATTTTCAGTGTTCCCCTCACAAAAACTCCAATTTTTCATCACCACCGATCCATCAAATTCCCAGGGCCCAAGGATCGTGGTGGGACCCCAGGGGCAGCATAAAGTGCAACACATCCAGGTCGAGATTTCACAACATTACCAACAATTTTTCATGACCAACAAAACCGGAAACCGAGTTTGACCTCAGCAAACAAAATGAAAATATTCTCCTTTCTTTTGGCCCCTGGAGTTTGTAGTCTCCTTTGTTTTCCTCCATGCCCAAAAATCTGATGAATAGGGCACAGAATCAAGGCTTTAGCCGTCCAATAGCCCTCGATATTGCCTTCGCTAATCTGCTCCTGTGATCTTGATATGAGGGCCTCCTGAAAAAACTCGGGCTAGAAGCATGTGAATCACTTTTTTTGGGAGAAGGAGGAAGAAGATGGAGCTTCTGTTTTTGTATCGAGTTTTTTTAGGATTCTGGATAGGAATGGCTAAAAATCGCGTGTTTTTTCTGGGATTGGGATTACGGTAGCGTGTTTGAAAGGGATGGTGGCAGGGCCTTCCAGAGAACGGCGACTTCCCGACCCCGACCAGCGTTAAGTTGACTTATAAGCTCCCTTACAAAAACAATATTCTTAATTTTTAAGGTTCTCAGTGGAATTTAATCACGATAACCCGGTTTTAAAGGGATGGTGACAGTGAATACAGGGTATGATGTCCTTCTTGCTTTGAAAAGCGTTAAATTTCGCTTCAAACGTCTTTTAAAACATGAAAGAATTTTTTTGGTTAGTGGTAGATTATCCGAAACCTGGTTAGGTGGAATTCTCCAAGTTTTATTATTGAAAAAAACCCTTTTTGGGATAATCTATACTAGTTTTTTTGGATTTAAGTAGCTGTATCTTAATTTACAATGTCATCTTTAATTAAAGCGGTCTCGAAGGTTATTTGAATTTTTCAGTGTTTTTGAGTTTTCATACTGGAAGATATCACTCAAATCCTCTGAAAGTACAATTTTTAATCTACCATAAATGCGCTAATGGTTTAAATTGTTAACGTTTTCACCATGTTGCTAAAAAACTTCCGGGTACATCCATCTCAAGATCAAACGTGTACATTGCAAAATCCCGGGTTCGCTTTGTCTATTCTTTTCACACAGCTTCATCAGATCCGCCCTAATCCGCGGCTTTTTACGCGGCTTCTCACCACCCCGTTCCACCCTGCTTTTCCACACAAATTTCCTCAATTTCGCACCCCTTTTTCCTTTTCCACCCACAGCTCCCTTCTCCATCTGTCGCTAACAATCGCCGGCAATTTTGCTGACGCGCCCTGGCCAGCCTGGTCGGCTCAAGGTTTCGTGAGATTCCCCGGATCTTCCGAATTTGATCGTGACGCCCCTGGCGAGGCGACTCACTTCTCATCAAATTTTCGTCAATTTTGTTTTTGGGATATTAAATGTTATTTTAAACAAAGAGAGACGATGCCTTCTGGCGACTATGTCACGTGCGCGATTCGAGAATTTGAAAAATAATTTTTGGAACTGGAACGTTTTTGAATGTTTGATGTTGAGTTTGAGTTGTTTGAGTTGAATTTTCGATACCGTTACTACCATGAAATTAGGGCCTTTTGCCTATGACCTAATTCTAAGCGCGCTAACTATACTATTGGCCCTACCGAATACGGTAGCTTGCTGTCACCATCCCGTTAGGACCATTTAGCAACCAATATACCGCTGAAATCCCTATAATCTCTGAACTTTTCCGATACCTTTGCGCTTCCGAATTCCTCATTTCAATTTACAGATGCTGGTTCAAATATATTTTAAACTGCGCTGCTCAAAGCTGTCCACGTTAACTACGACTTACTGTCAACCTCCCATTAAAGTCGAGTTCGCAAGAAACGCTCATTTCATACCGTAACGAGCTACTGTACCTAAAAAAGTGGTTTGACTGATGGATTTTCCTCTAAAGTCGTTCTACAGTAAGCTCCTCAGATGCCGTTTTTGTAACATTACCGTAATCTACCTAAACCTGTAAAACTCCATTCAAAATTTACGTGAACTATGAATCTTACAAGTCCTCATCACAGATATCCCTTCCAAGCAGGCTACCGTACTCCAGGAGTGCCTATTTTGCAATGGTTTCAGGTTGCAAAATATCTCAAAAATAGACTTCTTGTGCTTAGAAACGACTAGACAACATACGTGAATAGTACGCACGAACTACCTTTCACAACTTGAGACATTTGTCATTGGTGAAGCCCCTTTTCCCCAAAGAATCCTTTCAACCTCCCGGAAATCAAATCGCCCGGCGCAAAATACCTTTTTCTTATTTTGACCACCGGCAAATTTACCCCTTTTTTAGAGCGGCTGATCACTGCGCAGTAATACGCTCTATCCCGCTGGGAAAACTACGAAATTTTGTGTTCCGCCACGCAAAAATGGAGTGTCTAGCCCGGGGCCGGAAGCTCGTCGGCCCATCAAATAGCCCATTTTCCGGCGCGCACCAAATTTCAGCGCATTTTTTGGTTGAGCTTTTTCGTGAGCTACGCAAAGATGGACTTAATGGATTTGGGGAATGGCTTATTCGTCAGGGGAGTGAAACGAACTTGGGGATCTTTGGTTTTAGCCGGATTTAAGATTTAGTTGATGCTTTTGTAAACCAAAATTTCGGAAATTATCAGAAATCTGTATTAGAGGGCCAAAGATAGGGATAGAGAGAGCGGGAGAACGAGAGGGAGAGAGAAAGGAAGAGAGAGTGAGTGAGTGAGAGACAGAGATAGACAGAGAGCGAGAGAGAGAAAGTGAGAGAGAGAGAGAGAAGTCGGCCTTTCAAAAAATAGGTTACACTAATGCGAGATCTAGTGTTCCGTGTTTTGCTAAAACTCCTCTTGTTTTTGAGCATGAGCTTTGGCCAGCGGCCAGTGGCAAAACCTCCTAGAAAAATATTCCACCACCACCCATAGAGGCGGTTCTCTTCTGCCCGCCGGAAGAGCTCAATTTTGCGCCGGGGATCACCATTTTCCTTTTCTTTTGCTATGAGCCTCCGGGCTGCTCGAACTTCTCTTCACTTTCTTTTTCGCGCAAAGAAATGAGGGCCATTGGTCCCTCCGGGTTAGACCCTTAGGTGGCCACAACCTTTGAGACGAGATTGAACCCCTGTGGAGCTTCGCCGTTTTGCTCGAATAGCGCGAAAAAATTGGACGACACCGGTGGTCGACCTTTCCGGCAATTTTTGGGGAGTTTCTCGGATTTTTGCCGGGTTTCTTTATAATGTCCGCATTTTTAGGAGAGTTCTGGAACGTCTTGGAAAAGCATCAGGTTTTATGTGATTTAGCGTACTTTAAAATTGTCATTATGGTACCAAAACTCTGCTTTTTTAAATATTAAAAAGGTGAAAATGATAATTCCAGTTTTTTTAGCTATAAGCTAATTATTTTGTGTTTTTAAACTCTATCTTTCCTATTAAATCCTGCTTAATTTATATAAGACTTGACGGTTTCCAAAAACGTACAATTCCATATAATTTTTCGATAATATTACTCAATGTTATAATACTGTAACTTTTTGACGCCATTTTCGGTTGTTTTCTGCCTTTTCTACACAGCGTATTTAATCAAGGATAGCTCCTATCAATTCCAGGTATGGGCCTCAGCAGTTCACGTCACCGGAGATCCTCCGATGGGGGCAACATCTCAGCTCGCAAAATTAAAGACAGCCGACCATCGACAGATGCCCCGGCAACAGATCGAGATTTTGGAAAATCACAGTCGATGCCGACGTTGGATCGGGAAAGAAAAGGTAAGTAATTTTACGCTAATCAGTAATTATCATCAATTAGCAAATTATACCAAATTGTAGTAAAGCCGGGAAATTGACCATAGACGTATTCCCTATTAGTTTCTGCTAGCTAACCTTATCGATAGGTCAACCCATTTTTCCAGGCACCATGACCACCCCATCCAACGGCACATCCTCAGAAAAGAAACCGGCAGCAGTAAAGGCCTCCGGGTCAGTCCGACGATCAGAATCCGCTGTAAAGAGGAACGACTCGTTGGCGCCAAAAACAAGGTAAATTCACTAGGATTTTCAAGATTTCTGCTCTCCTAAAGTATCCGCTTTTTAACAGATTGCAAAAAACTGCTTGAAACGCAAAATTCAACTGTCAAATAGCTTTTAACACATTTAAAATTGCTTACGCGCAAAATTCCAAGCTTCTTCGCATTCCCTTGCTTCCCGTTCAGCCTCCACCACGCATTACCTCTGCTTTATAGACCACCGTTAAGACGCCAATCGACTAGCGCCAGAATCCCAAGGTATTTAGTGGGCATTGACAACCCCGATCTGTTTGAAACTAGACCCTGTACTTTGTATACATATGGAATGGACTGGTTTTAGGAGGCATGCTAGCGGGGATTCTTTAGGAATATCTAGGGATGCCAGCAACGCTTCGTCGAGAAGGTTTTAGTCACTAAGCTGCGCAGGCTAGCAGATAATCTTTGGGAATTTTCATTTAGCGCAGTAAGAGCAGAGATTACTGTGGAAACGGCCCTTCACCCGAACGTATAAAAAAAAATGATGAAATCCATTGCTCAAGGGAAATCTGTTAGCTCCTTGCTCTTGAATTTTTGTCCACAAAACTAATTTATTGGAAGTGGGTGTCTGTAGCTAAAAAATTAGTAAACTACCCTGCAACCCTCAATTATTTGCTCCATTTTTAAGCCTGCCGTTAATGAAAAACAAATAGAATGATATGATATTAGCGAGTATAACAGGAATTCGTAAGGAATGCCCAAAATCAGTCCATTCTCGAAAATTGGTACCTACCCTCGAATGCAGTGCTTGCTATTTAGCCAACCCAACCTACCGTACCCCTAATTCACGATTTTATTTTTCCCATATGGTGCCAACCCCTGCCGTCACTGATTCAACATTTTGTTTTTCATTCACAAACCAAACCGCTTGTTTTTTTGAGAATCACGAGCGGAGTTCTGCGAACAAATTTTGGCCTCCCTGTTTGGACCTGGGACGCAATTTTCTTTTGGAAGTTTACGCTCCCAAAAGAAGCTTCATTAAAACTAATTGCGCTGCTCCGGGAGACCGAAAATTGAGCACGAGCATTTGCAACATTTTCGGGAAAACGTTGTGAATTAGCTAGAGGGTTTATTAGCAAAAAAATTTAGAAAGCAAGTCCGTTAAAAAGGTTCTTAATACTGTAGTTTCAAAACACAAAACACAGTCTCCTTCGCAAAACAAAAAAAAGCTGTTTTCCTCCATCCGCCTTTTCCGCGCGGCCCTCCTTCTCGCATGATTTCCGCGAATGGGGGAAATAAAACCCGACACATGGCCCTGGGCCAGAAAATCAAATTTTGAGGGGTAGAGGGCTGGATGGGGCGCGTCGGCTTGATCACGAGACAAATTTTAGAGAGTCAGTCGTCTTCTCGATGTTAGAAAAATTTAGCACAGACAGGAAATTTCATTCTGGAGTTGAGGAGCGGGCAGGGGGTTCAAATGTGTCTATATTGTTACTCGAACAGGAGAAGCGCGTGCGAATTGAAAGTTAAAGTTGAAGAGCGGCAACTTAAAACAACATTGGAGCAACTTGAAACCTGCTTCGTGCTTTGTTTAAGGAGGTACACTTAAAAACACGATCATTTTGAAGTCCGACATGCCGTGTGTGAACCTTACCTAATGGTTTCCTTTTTGTTTCCCCGAGTTAAATACCAATTCCCCCAGGCACTACCCTCTATTGTGTATCTGCCTTATAGGGCAAACCATTGCAGAGCAAGAGAAACCAGATAATGCTTTACCGTGAATTTTCAGCAATGGCTACCCGCGACAAAAGTCAATACGGCGAGACATATCGCACCCAATTCCGGCCGGAGCCCGGGAAATCATCATCCAGTGTTTCGACAACCCGCACTCGGAGTTTGGGAATAAGGTGAGAGAGAGAGAGAGAGAGAGAGAAAGAGAAAGAGAGAGAGAGAGAGAGAGAGAGAGAGAGAGAGAGAGAGAGAGGGAGAGATGAGAGAGAACCAGCGAGAAATAGCGAATACTATAAAGATTTGAAGTTGATGAAAATGACAGAGAACAGCATTTTTTTACTCTTTGCAACGGCTACAAAAATCGATACCTCCCCAATCACGCCACCCCGGAATCAATCAACCAGGTACCTGATGGGCCCCTCTTTTTTCGGGATTCCCCGGGGCAACTTTTAGTCTTTTCCTCCCATTCCTGGCCGCATGTCGGTATTTTGGGATTTGTTCTGGGATCTATGTTCTTCGGGGGGATTTTTTGAGGCCCCGTGGAGTGAGCGGCTGTCGTGTCCCGGGGAGCCAAGCGGAACCTTGAGAAACCGTCAAACTGACCCATGGAGAACACCCAATCCCGCAGACTTCAAGCGTTGAGCCTAAGATCCGGCCTTTTGACCTTCATTGTCAGATCGAATATCAGAGTTGAGGGGTCGGCACTTTTTGAAGGTGGAAGAAAAGGAAAACCGATAGATCATGGTTCAGTTTCACGGGAGCAGCGGAAATACAGATTGAGCCCTGAAAGGTTAGGATCTGGGGGATGGCTTTAAAGGGAATGTGCCAGAAATTTCGAAACTCGAAGGCGCATGAGTGGTAGCTTAATAGGCTACTTAAAGAACTCAAATCCCTCTAAAAACCTGAAAACTAACCATTTTACTTTTCTTTACTTACGTTAAACTAACCATTTTATCTCTAAAGTCTCAAAAATTAATGAAAGGGGCAAAACTGCTAAGAATGGCGTAGTATATAACGTAATGAAGGACACCAGTCAAGCAGCATTTATGAAAATTAAGTTGTTTTTCCAGGTCTGCCAACGCGTCTTCGAAAAGCGACCCGACTTCCAAAACTATGTCTACCAGATGGGCAAGGAAAAAGCGTACCAAATGACGCAAAAATTGAAGGATATGGTCGAGCTGATTGTGTCTAGGGTAAGTTTTGGAAAATAGAACTATCATCATACAAAGTATAAACGTTTTTTTCTTCAACATACCGTTTAGATAGACGATGTCGATCACATTGTCGCCACCTCCCGAGCATACGGCGAGGATCACGTCGAGTTGAAGCCGCTCGGGTTTAAGCCCGATTTCTGGGTAGCACTAGCCGATGCGATGACGGTAGAAGGCGTCATTTTGGATATGGCAAATCATCAGGTCGGTAAAACAACGATTGGATGTTTTCCATGCATGATTGCATTTATATGTTTTTTGAATCGGGGTAAACTTGCTTTGGAACCTTGTGATTTTACGAACAAATTAAAGCAGCCAAAAACTCTTCAGAATTACAGTTTTAACTTACTTGTCTAATTAAAAAATATAAAATCGGTATCTGGAAAAATTGGAGGCTCGAAAAATTTCATTTTATCCGTCTTGTGGACGACAATTTGCCTGTTTTTGGGAGGGCTGGCTCGCAATGACCGTTGTGGAATCATATTAAGCTCTAAAAGTTAATAACTAAAGGTATATTTCCTAGTGGAATTTTATTAGGCGTTAGAACCAAAAAAACCAAGGGGTATCTGTTTAGTCGTGATCTTATTGGATGCTATGAGTGTATCGCTAAAGGAATCGTTCAATTCGGGAACATTAAAATTTATGTATAGTGAAGAAATTCCTGGATCAGACGAGGCCGGGGTTGAAAAGTCGCGAAGCGGCTTTTGAACCCTGGTAAATAGTTATAGTTATTTTTAACTCCATTATTTTCAGCCAGCCGACACCGTAGGCGCCTGGTCACAGATGGTTTCGCTCATCTTCTCTTCGGTCCGAGATGGCTATTATTCAGCATTGAGGGCACATCGAGTGAATTCCCGGAAGAATTTGGCACGACAGGCAACAACCGACTCCACAAATGTCAGTCAATACCCCGAAATGACCCCAATGTCCGCCTCCATGTCGGCCTCAATGTTAGCCTCTATGATGAGCACCTCAATTACGGCCCCCGAATTTGATAGAATTTTGGAGGATGAGGACAAGGATGATTAGCATATTTAATTGCCCTGAAAAATTTTTTTTGCCCAATTTTACGTCATTTGACGTTTATTTCCGTGAGATTTGACCCGTTGTTCAGACCAATATGACATTTTTAAGGTATAGAAAATGTCATTTCTATGCTATTAATCAGACATGGCAAAACGGCCGCCGCGGCCGGCCGGAAGCCGCATGCAAATTTTTTTCACGGCCGGGGCCGGCCGCAAAGCCGCAAAAATTACCCACGGCCGCAGCCGGGCCGGGCCGCAAAAACGTCCTGGGGCCGCAGCCGGCCGCAGCCGGCCGCGACCGGCCGCGGCTTTTGCCATGAACTGCTCGTTGCCTTTTTCCTTTTCGGAAATCATGCTAATCAGTAAAATTCAACTCGACATCCTCAAAATAGGTCATTATTTTCCCCATGGTGCAGCCGCGGCCGGCCGCGGCCGGCCAGACTCTTTTTTTGGAGACGGCCGCGGTGGCCGGGATTTATGCTAATTTCATATGCGGCCGGCCGCGGCCGGCCATGGGTAGCTACGGCCGGGCCGGCCGGGCCGGGCCGCGGCCACTTGCCATGTCTGCTATTAATGCTCTTATCGCGATGGATGGTCAATGTTTTATGCTAATTTAACGTCCCTAAACATCACCGTAAATTTTAATCAAGCATAAATTATGCAAAAATCAGGTGTTAGGCTCCCAAAAATTGTTAGCAAATTTTAGAAAACGATTCACGCATCTGAACTTTGAATTTTAACCTGAAAAAGACTGATGTTGCCTTCGCGGTCCCTTTGAACCTTGCTATCAAAAATGAGCTTTACATTACGATAAGCTTCAAATTGTCCGCTTTCAAAACCGTTCTAATTGCAACTTCCGGTCCTCTTATCCTCCCATTAATGCCTTGCCACTTCGGCCCCAACCAACCTACCGTATGCCCATAATCTCGCTGTGTGCCAAACTAACAACGCCCGGTTTTTTCAGAATGAACATCAACCGTCAACTGGCCAAACACCGTCCCGAACGAACAGTGTCAACGGCAGGTGTACGGAGGTGTACAGCGTACCCATGCAACATCAACGCGGCACGTGGACCGGGTGACGCTAACTGTCCTGGAATTCTGGAATTCAGTGTTGGTGTTGAAACCTGTTCCGGTTTTGATTAATTTTGTGTCTTTTGGCTTTAAAGGAGTGTTGAAGCCAGGAACTGCCTAAATTCGAAAAAACGCGAGTTTCGAATTTCGAGCTGGCGTCAATGGACCTTTAAACCCTGAAAATTGGTTTTAATTGCAAAAAAATAAGTACTTTTTAAAGCTTTTAGAAAAATTTCTATAGGACAGGAAAATCCAACAATGTCCCAATCTAAAAAATGTCAATGAGAATTTTTAGCTACAAAAAGCCAATTTCCAGCCATTTCCTCGCATTTTTGTGTGATTCACATAATTATTATTAACCCGAAACGAGTGCTTTTCGTTTTTTCCGATATGGTACCGTCATCTGTTTTCGAAAATCTTTTTTATTCGAAAATCGACATCTACTACGATTTACGATTCGGCAATCACGATACCTAATTTTAACTGGATTACGGTACTTTCCCGACCCCGAAAATCTGCGTGTTTTTCGACTCCGTCACGGGTACGCGCCTCACAAAAAAGCGCCAATTTCATAACCAAAAATTCTTAACAACCAAAATAAATATCTACCATAGCGCTTTGTGTGGTGTATCGAAATGTGAAATTATTTGGTTATTAAGCCACTTGTATAGTTTTTTATGTTGACTAATCTACCGTAGCCCCCAGCGAGCCTCCCTAGTTCAATTCAAAACACACCGGTGAATATATAAAAAATGGGTCCCTAGCTCCACGTAACAACAAACAACACATCATATTCAATATTTTTCTTCAAATTGTATATTTTATCGTGAGTTTTATATGATTTCTATTTGTGCACTTTTGCCTTGTAAATTGTACTTTGTTGCCCCCAACATTCCGCGGTTATTTGATGGATTTGTGTCGTTTTTGATTTGAATAAAATAGTATGAAGAGAATGCCTCCAAGGAAATACACTGGAAATTTTCATTAATCGACTCTCTCTCTCTCTCTCTCGCTCTCACTCTCTCTCGCTCACTCGTTCTCTTTATCTCGCTCTCGATCTTCGCACATACCTCATAACCGTACCCAAGTCAGAGAGAGAACGCGAGAACGACAGAGAGAGAGAGAGAGCACGCGATTTGGAAAACGAAAACGGATCAACTGTTAGCTTTTATTCAACTCTCAGTAATCCTAGTATACGACCCCTTAAAGGTGTAGAGAATATCATCCTTGCATTTGTCGAAGTTCGGATAATCGAATTTAGCCTGAAACCTGCTCAGATATAAAGAGCTCAGGGTTACCTTGAAGTAAATCTCGGCCTGGTAAAAATCTCCCATTTTGTATTCGCCCCTTGAAATATCCCGGCCATCACTAGCTTGCAGAAAAGTCTTGTATTCCTTGTTGATTTTTAAGAAATTTTCTTGATGGCATTCGGAGGTTGGTGCTGCAAAGTCATGAAACTTACGCTTGTTAGTACGTCGCTCTCTCTCGCTCTCTCTGCTTTGTCTTTCCTATCGTTTACTGTAAAATCCACTTACTCGCAATCATCGTTCGAACGTTTCTGCTTCTTGCCCGTCTTCGACTTGGAATCCTGCTTCTTGCCACCTTTCTTTTCTTTTCCTTCTTCCCCTTCCTCCCCATCTTTGTTATCACAATCTTCGATCTCCGGAAATTGCTCACTTTTTTCGTATTCTAAAGGATTTTTGAACTTTTCATGAGATCTGTTCTTATTTTATCCAAACCTGCATAACTATGCGCAGCATTCCCACACCAAAGCTTTGCCAGCTCGATCTGATAATCCTCGACGCAGGGGCAAGACTCGGCAAAGATGGAGGAGTACCTTAAGTTCAAGATAGAAAGTTGTGACAAATGAAAAATAAACAGTTTCTGATAAGCGTTACATGCAGAGATCCTTTCGCCAGAAAACTTCTGTCGAATTTTTGCCTTCCGCTGGGATGACGCCATTCGCAACGCCGCATTTTTCGACCTAAGTTTTTCGCTTATTCTTTTCTGTTTTTATTTTTGTATTTGAGTTTATTTAGTTGTCTTTTTGATGTAAGTGTAGCATGGAGGTGCTGATCAACGTCCAAATGAACCTCTTACCAGCTTTTTTCCCAAGATAGAGTCAGCGAAATCTACGATTCAATTTTTGAGCTGAAAGGCTGTAGGCATAATAGAGTAATACCTTATCCCCGCTTTTCTCGCAAGCCAAAGCCACGTGAAATACAAAAATACCGGTCAAGAAGTATAGCAAGAAGCTCATCTTGAATTGAATAAAATAAAAAATCCGCTTGGCCACCATTTCTATCCCGCCTGTTTGACTTTCAAAGGATAACAAGATTGCTTTTGACGTGCGAAAACAACCTATTTCGAGCGCGACAAAGAGGATTTTCCAGCCGTATAATGTTAGAATTTAAATCGTGATTCGTTGATTTATGTCAAAGCAAAAAATCGGGTTAGTCTGTATACAGTTTGAACGACGGTTCGAAGGCCTCCCACAACTCCTCAGCGCAGTCTTTGTATCCGGCTTTATGATATTTTGCCTGAAATATGCACATTGAAGGGCTGGCACGGCAAAGCTATGATTGTTGGTGGCTGCGGGCGCACTAGCGATTAGCTGCCGCCGCGACACGCGACGCGACGCTATGCGAAATTTGGGCTACCCTTTACTCCCCCCCCAGCCGGAATGTTTTGGCTATAACTTTTTTATTTTACATTATTGTAGGGTCAACTTAAAATTCTTAGTATATTTTTCTACGCTCTATCGAATCGCGTTGCAAAAAATCCCGACAAAATAGGCGAAAATACCGAAAACTTTGAGACATTTCGGCTGTGGGGGGGGGTGACGTAAAGCCTTACCCCGATTCAAAACCCAATGGCAAAAATTACCTTGAAAGCCACCTCGGCTTCGTAAAATGGGCCCACTTTGCCCAATCGATAAAAGCGATGCCCCCTCTTGGTCCACAAATTTTCCCAGGCAGCGTCGATTTTAGCCCGGTTCTCTTTGTGGCAGCTCAGAACATCACTAAAAAAATTGTCAAACTAGGGTTGAATTTCCAGATCTGATTCCGGAAAATAGGGCCAAAAAACTTGCCCGCACATGACATACGCCTCACACCGCTCAAGCTCCGGGTAATGATTGTCGTCGTATTTGAATGCTGGAATTCTATGGGGTCAGAATATCGTGGTTGGGGCCCACCAACTATGTCCCGTGACTTCTGGTTGCACTGGAGCATGGAGAAGTCTCGTTGGTAATCATGTCGGCAGGGGCATTTTTCGGCGAAGGTCCGGGGGTCACTGGAGGGAAGCACTTTCACTCGGGAATGTACATTTTGGTTACGATTTATAAAATTAAATTGGTTCTTGATTGCTTATCTGAATATCTTAATCTGGATGGGCTATTTTATTTTACATTTAATGCCTCCAATTAAAACTCGACGCATACGATAATCGCTCTAGATAATCACCTTTTTAATAGTGAAAATATTGAAAACCAACCGTTTACCTCATTTTCCAAAGTTAATTTGATTTTTGCTATAACTTATTTTATATTGCAGTGTTTTGAGCTGTCATAAAATTCGGTGTAAAATTTCGATATTCTAACAAATGACTTCATGGAAATCCGATAAAGGGCCGAAATTATGGAAAATTTTGTAGCCCGCGTGTTCCGGGGGTGGGAGTAAAGTAAACCGTAGCCCTCACTTTATCTCTCTCCTCTCTCGTTCTCTCTCTCTCTCTCCTTTCTCTCCCTCTCTCTCTCCTTTCTCTCCCTCTCTCTCTCACTCTTTCTCTCGATCTCTGTCTAAATTGTAATATCACCAACATGCAAATTCTGAGTTCATTTGGAATGGTCGAATTAGTGATGAGCCCGTGGTCCACGCCGCATTGATAGACCTGAAAACAATAACGATTCTGCAGTCTAAAAATTCCATGTTTTTAGTTGTACAGGTTGATCCTATCATGTTGATTTTTCGCTATTTTACCGACCTCTTCTCCCGGCACATCGCAGGCCTTTGAATAGCAAATCAACGCAAGTAGCCCAAGGATTCCGGAAATCGCAAGTCTCATGTCTGCTGTTCTTGCCGGACGGAATGACAAGCTTGCGATTTCCTCGATTTTTACCATGGCTTTTCAATGTTTTTTTTTTCGAAGGGGTAGCCTCAACATTAGTCAGGCAAGGGAAAAATGACGGGATTTCGTTTTCTCTGATTCACATTTCGGAATTGTCATTTTTGGCGGGTTTTTTTGTTGAACATTTATTTCGATGATGAAAATAACATTCAGCTGTTCAAAATTATCGTCAACGACCCCTTGAGCGCATCGAAAAGATCATCGGCGCAGTTTCCGAAGAGATTCCGATTATATTTGACCTAAAAAAGATGGATAATTTAGAAAAACCTTTCTATTTTGCGTTAGTGAAACGCTATCTAAAGAAAATGAAACGTTAATGTAAAATTATTACCCTCACAGCCAATTCCGCGTCATAGAAATTTCCAAGGGTGTATCTGTGGCGTAGGTAATTCTTGTTGACATAGCCAGTCTCTTTTAAGAATGTGGGGTATGCCTCATTGATCGCGGCCCGATTCTCGCGATGACATCGCAGAAAATCACTGCAAAAGTGAATAATTCTATTAATAATAGAAATCAGAATGACAATCTTGAAACAAATTTTATTAACTTTGTGGGTACAAACGAACGTTACTCCAGAATCGAAAATGCTAAAAATTACAGCCAGCTTACCCACAACCGGCATCGATATCACATTCATGAAGTATCGGGAAATAGTCGGTGTTGTTTGGAAAACTAAAGAGATTTGAGAGCATAATAAAACTGATATTTTTACTGGCATAGTGATGTGGAGCATCGACACACCAGATACCGATCAAGTCTTTTTGGTAATCGTCAACGCAAGGGCACATTTCGGCGAATTTTGCGGAATCCCTGAAACCGAGGTTACCAAAACAAGCTGTTCTGTCTGATGAGCATTTCTGTATTACTTAGAAATAGTTTAGAACAGCTTGGAAATCCGATAAGGGCTTAATAAATCCCCCAAAAAAAGTGGGTTTTGGTCTAGAAAAATCCGTGCATGCAAAGGTCCTTTCGCCAGAACACCGGCAAGTTCGGAGAGTAGTGCGGCATGACGCCGTGGTCGACTCCACATTGGTAAACCTGAAAAGTTTAATTGATTTGATTCTAATGATTCGTTTTTAGTATTGCTGCCATATTCGATCAAAATGCGGTATTAAAATAGAATTTAAATTATCTGGGCTCGAATCTGCCTATTTATTGCACAAACCTCGTCGCCCGAAACTTCATAAGCTGCAGAATACCCAATCAGGAAAATTATTCCGACAATTCCAAGAGCCGACAGCTTCATTTTTCGATTTTCCGCACATGAAAACAACGGAATTGAAGCCCCTGCCATCTGGTTTGATTGCTTCAACTGTCTTCCGGAACAGTCTAAACACCGGAACAGTCATGTAGGTCACTTCCCACAAAAATGACACGTTCCTTTTAATTAAAATATTTCTATTTATTGATTCTATTTTTAGGTTGATCTTTGCTTCCCGAGGGTGTCAGCATATTCGGAATCTGGCAACAACGCTATGTGGAAAATATCTGATCGCGCGGATCTCGCGTCTTGAGCCTAAATATTAATTACCTGGGGATATAGGGAGCCGAGTCCCGTTCGGGTCATATACAAATTACGCTTGGCTTGCGGGATATTTGGGTTTATTTGCTATGTACTGAACTAATTTCTGAGTTTTAGATGATGTTCTATCTTCTCCTTCTTGCCGCTACCTTCGTTGATGGCGGCTTGATCGAAAAACAGGAGGGACAATGCTACGTACATGACTGTAAATTCTAAAATGTTAAACCTAATCCAATATTTTTTTGGTTTATCCTATCCTATAAGCGGAGAAAAGTATGTCTGTTTTCTGTAATGACGATTTCTCGGCCGTCAGGCCGAATTTCGCCCGCAGATTTTGGCATGGAGGCGGAGAAACACATCCTCTTTATACGCATTTTTTTGTTTTTTGAAATTCCTTCATTTAACTATTTTACAAGGAAAATAGTGTAAAACCCTTAACATTTTGGCTAAAAAAAAGGTTTGTTCAGAGGCTATCTCGATTGCCTGAAGGAGTTAGACCCTGATTTTTGGTGGGTTGATGCATAATGAAAATATCTCGATACTATTTTTTGGATTTTCGTTAATTCTTTAAAATAAGGTTTTTATAAGCATTTTTCTAAAAAATCCTTAACAAAATGGCCAAAGTGCCGTGGTGTCCGTGCCATAACTCGAAGCCCTGATGGAATTTCGGGCTGTAATTTCGGGCATTTATGTAATCGATAGTGCGAATCACGCGCATCTTATTATTTTGACAAATTTTTGGCAGTTTCAGACGAAAACATTGAATTTTGTAAAATGACCAAAAGGCATCCCTCTCAGCTCTAACTTCTTTACCGCTGCCCGGGGGGACCCGCCCCCAGGACAGAAGAGGCCTTTGCCGCCCCGTCACCATCTGTCCTGCGGTGTAGTGGATTGGGGTGGGGCCTGTCACGCGGATGCTCATGGGTTCGGATCCTCGGCCAATTCAACTTTTTTGCTTTTTGGTAGTTCAGCAACAAAACTTATTTTTAGCCTCAAGTTGTGCGAGGTTTAGGCCTGGCTCTCGCTCTAGCGCCGCAGGCCAAAGAAAAGGTCCTTGGCCCGGGCTCTAGCGCCGCAGGCCACGGATGGGTCCTGGACGCAGGCTCTCGCGCCGCAGGCCAAAGAAAAGGTCCTTAACCCAGGCGCTCGCGCCGCAGGCCAAGGATGGGTCCTGGACCCCGCTCTCACGCCGCAGGCCAGATCCCAGGAGGGAAAAACCAGTAACTAGCGCCGCAGGCTCAAGGATTCTAGCGCAAGCAACGCTGGCTCTTGCGCCGCAGGCCAAAGATGGCTCCTTGACTCAGGTTCATGCGCCGCAGGCTAAAAAAGAAAGTATTTAAATTCATGGTTCCTGGACGGGGCCCAGTGGAAAAGGGCCGCGAAGCGGTCTTTTTTCCACTGGTTTTAATATAAATTGGGTTATAATAATAATATATACGCAATAATTTAAAGTTACATACCCTTCAGACTGGTGTTTTTCAGGGGACCGTTGCCTTGTAACAGCTAACGAAACGCGACCAATTTTCTCGAATGAAACCGATAGCTCGATGGTTGATTTTCCGGAACTCGAACAGCAGTATTTCTACCATGTCGGAAACTTCTGCCTATCGACGGAGGATTTGCATGTGCGTGGCTTCTTTAATTTTTTGCGAATATTAAATTTTTAACTCGAATCACAAATTTTTAAGATGGATAATTAGGATTGAGATAAGAAAAAAAAGATCTAAGATTTTTCTATTTAGGATTTATGATTTAAGATATTTGAGGGTTTTACAAAATTTAGAGTTCCAAAAAATATTGATTTAACCGTTCAAATTTAGGTTTCCAATTGGCCAGTAAACTCAGAAAACTTTATTCAAGTTTAAAAATTGTTACAAGCCACGCTTATATCCTGGCTAAAAGCCGCTGAAAATAACGACCCTTAAAAATACTAAAATCGTATCTAGTCTGGAAACTTAAATGTGCTAAAAATATGATAAAAACCCGAGATTCTGGTTATCCTTTCTTTTTTTAGGCCATGATTGCCGACAAGACCATCAAAAGCCCATTCGACAGCCTCCCCGCCTTCACGCACTACGTCAAGTCCTACGAGTTCGCCCTCACTTACTTCTTCTTGAAAGAAGTCCGCGAGCAGTACGGTCTCGCTCCCCAGGAGCCAGACTTCAAGAAGGAGCTCGAGGATGAGTTCGAGGGATCAGGAGAATCCGATGATCAAGACCCTGAGGTCCTGCTCTTTGTCGAAAATGTCAAGAGGAACGCTGCGGAAGTGAATTCTGATCGATCGTCTAGACCGCTCACCTCTGATGATGTCAAAACCACAGCTAAATTCTTTGAAAATCGTCTCCCTCAGGTTCCTCAACTCTTCAAGCTCCTGGTCCAAAAAGCTAAGCAGTCAAACGATGTCTCCCGCTTTAAACATTACCACCATATGAAAAAGAGCCTTGAGAATTCGATCAGCAAAATGCTGTCCACCTCCCTGTCAGCGAAAATTTTGTGAACAGGCGTTCCCGATTCGAGCTCCATTGCCGGGATTTTCAAGCCCAAACACTTGTTCAGTTTAGCTTTAAACAATGTGGTTTTGCATTGATGAATTGAATAAACTTTAAAAATAACGGTAGTCAAACCGAATTAAATTGCACGAGCGATAATTAAGACAAACAGCAAGATTTCATGCCGTAATCTGATATAAGACTGTTTTTTGGGCGAAAAAGACGAATAAAAATGCGTTCAGCGAGATAGTAAGCAGTGGTTTGAGTAATTTACAGTTTGGACATTTGTCTATTAGTCTAGTTATTAGTCCCAATGTTAAGATGCCTGAATTGTTGCGTCGTTTTAAAAACACAAGTCAGTATTATATTTATTGCTTTTCAACATTTTGAAACAGGTGTCCGGCTTGAATCCGATGGCCGAATTGGTCGATCGATCCGAAATTCCAGTATTCCTGGTAAAATTAATTCCGCACGAACATGCTCACCAAATGCTCCCCGACTCAATACTAAACTCCCACATGCCGAAATGGCTTTAGCCCATTTTCTAATACTGTTGTCAATATTTACTACGATCAGTTGGGCAGATAAGTGTGACCTGCACGAATTGGATTACTTGATCTACTACCCAAAAGTAATTTGGAATGGAGATCTGAGAACTTTTGCAGTTTTCCCTGTATAGGAAAGTGTTCGAAAACGTTGTCGACACCTGCTTGGAACGTAAGTAAACCTAAAATTAAGCAATACAACGTTTTTGAGGCAAAAAGTTGCTTCGGGAGTTGGTTGGAAGGGTAGGTTTTGATTCAAATCGGTATATTATTTTATTTCGGTAGTAGCAAATTCGTTTTTTTAAAGCCGTTTGAAAATTCTACCTTTGCAATTTTTATTCCGTTTTTAGCGCACTCTATAGCGCACTATCAGATTTAACACAGCTTTAGGATTTTTAGCTTTGATTTTGATGCCCTTGGTTTTTCGTTAACCACGCTTGTTAACTATTTTAAGGTCTTTTTACCTTCAGATCGCCATGGACACCGAACAATGCGGCACCGAAAAGATTCCATTGACCTACACAGTTTCTACGAAGATGATCAAAAGACTTTGCCCCCAACATCGAGGCCAGTCAGATAGCCAGGAGCTTCTCATCGTCTTCGGCGCTAATTTATTAATGCAACAACACCAAGACGTTTCTCCCCCCATCTGCCATTTTTCTCCTAAAGAGCGCCTCTCGTGGCATTGGAAATGTGCGGGAAAAATAGGAGGGCCGACGCTTTTATTCGTGCATTTCGACGTGTAAATGCGACGTTGTTAAATGAGGGGTCTAAATAGCGTCAAAATTAGGGTCTAACACGTAAGAATCACTCAAAGAATGCCTGCTTGCTTGCCTCAAAGCTAAAACGAATTGATATTCGATAAGCGCTTTCCCGAACCAAAAAAATTGTTAACTCTATGCTACCTTGACTTCAACCTGAACAACACCAAGCATCCCTGCTAACCTTGCAAAACTAAAAACCGGCTAGCTTGCTGGAATAGAACAAAGCACCAAATAATCCCTGCTACCTTGCCTGGATCCGCTCTTTCCGCGTATTTTTTCGATTTAGAACACTACCAACGAATCTGTTTTATCCACAACTTATGCCTGGAGTCGATTATTGGCAAGAAGGGCATGACGAAGGAGATGTGTGATCAGACGTAAGTTTTTTGATACCTGACACTTTAGTAATAAAGTAGATGGCTGAAACAGCTAGAAAAATTATACTTAAAGGGATGCCCAACCTTTTCGGAGCTCAAAAAGCAAAAACCAGGCCGCGGGTGGGGGTCGAACCCGGGAACCCCGTTTTGTAGGCCATAGTGACAAGCCATTGGGGTACCGCGACACTTGCGCCGCGGACACTTGCGCCGCGACACTTGCGCCGCGACACTTGCGCCGGCGACACTTGCGCCGCGACACATGCGCCGCGACACTTGCGCCCGACACTTGCGCCGCGTCACTTGCGCCGCGACACTTGCGCCTGACATTTGCGCCGCGACACTTGCGCCGCGATACCGAGTTTCAGCTACTTGAAGATGCAATTTTTCGCGCGGAGTATTCTGGTTAAAGAAACGATAGAAAGATGTTTTGCGCTAGGAGTCACTCGATTTGGAGGGAAGGTAATTGCTACTTCTTCCGCTCTGCGACTAGAAAAAGGCTTCGTGCCACCCGGGGCCTAGTCGCTTCGGATGGGTGCGAGCTCGTACAGGGTTTCGAAATCGGGGCGCCCGAGGCGCGCGTAGCGGCCAGGCGCCCCGATTTCGAAAGAGTGGAGCGGCAGCCCATCCGAAGCGACGGCCCACCTTGCCTGACGCTTCAGGAACGCTCCGAATTGACGTTACTCACTTTCTGTCAGCTTTTAATGCAAAATACAGTAATTACATACAAAATTCGCGCGAAATACCAAATTCACTACAGTTTAAATCAATATACGATCCGCGGCGCAAGTGTCGGGCGCAAGTGTCGCGGCGCAAATGTCGCGGCGCAAGTGTCCGCGGCGCAAGTGTCGGGCGCAAGTGTCGCGGCGCATCTGTCGCGGCGCAAGTGTCGCGGCGCAAGTGTCGCGCGCAAGTGTCCGCGGCGCAAGTGTCGGGGAGCCGCCATTGGGTGGGATGGGGACGCCACAAGAGGGAAAGATGTCCGAATTTTGTGCGGCACTGGCGCCTCATTGCCACACAAAATTCCCGCGTCATTCGTACTGTCCGGAATAAATAACTATATATTTGCTACCAAAACCTTGGGTATCCCTTTAATAACTAATTTGGCCAAGTCATATAACGAAATGTATTAACAACCAAATAATACAGAAAAAAATTAAAAAACGCTGTTTTTTTTCTAGATACTGTGACCTGTTGATGTACATGGTCCGCTCCACCGACAACAACCCAAAGTGCGGGCAAGTTGGCCAGAATTTTTGTGGTATCGCCCAGGTCAGAGTCTACCTTGTTCTACGTTTATACTTTCTAGAATTAATCAATAACATACGCTTTTAGTCCTACAACCTCACCCCGGAACAATTGGGCCAGAACAAGAATGCGACACTTTTGCCTGAAGCCGAGCCCACCGAGGCCGAATCGCCATATATTTGAGCGAATAAATATTTCGGAAAAGGATAAATTACACCATATAGACTTACGAAGGTCTAATAACGAATCAAAATAAAAGAATCAATAGACTACTACTTGTAAAAAATTAAATCTAGGCATCAAATCCAGGAATTTATAATTTTTCGGTGCCTCAGCCACCGGAAGCCGGTACCCTATAATTTTCTTGTAGACCCCCATTCCTGCTCTTCTCCGCTGCTCCATAAAATTGGACATCCGCTGTGTGGGTGGCCCATTGCTTCAATCTGGTGAAGCTGCTTCTTCTTCTCGTTCTCGCTATTCTTCTTCCGGACCACAGAAGTCCTCTTACGAAAAATGGACATCAGGAATGCGATACGGGTGAGTGATTTTAATGTTTTTGCCTTGTTGTGGATGCTAAGGATGCTGCTGCTTTTTGAATTCTTGGAAGTACCATTATAACGGATTGCTGCACCATGAAATTGGTGCAAAAGGCTCCCAGCGCCTAGAGATACCCTTCGATCTAACGCTTCTTTGGGCAAATCAAGTCATTTTATTGGAAGAACCCTGAAATAAGCAAACGCGATAAAAAGAAAACGAGATACATGGATATCGAGAGTGAGCGAGAGAGGCGGACAGACAAAGAGAGCGAGAGAGGTAGATAGAGCGACAGAACGGCAAAAAGAGTGAGCAAGAGTGACAGAGCGTCCTGCGACAACGGGAGAGCGCGAGAGTGAGGGAGAGCGACAGCGGCAGAGACAGGGAGTGGGAGAGAGAAATAGGGAGAGAGAGGTAAATAGTCTCAAAAAAATACGCGAATTCTAACGTGTCGGACCCCGTTTTCCATAAATTTCAGCCAGAACTTAGCCAAGTCGGTGTTCGATCCAATTTTTCTCCAACGAAACGACGATCCGTGATTTCGTGATCGAGTCTTTTCTGAATTTATCATGTTGATGCTCCTTATCCCAGTCGAAAACGGGATTTTCTGTGTATTCTCTGCAAACGAAAATTGTCTGGCCATGCTCAAAGAAGGCGCTAAACGGATTATCCTGCATTGAATAGCCCGAGGAGTGGTATTGATAAATGGATGTCGTGAAAATCTCCCTGGAGCCAAGATCCAACGCCCTCGTTCTCTCTCTCTCTCTCTCTCTCTCTCTCTCTCTCTCTCCCTTCACGCCTGGGGGCGCCGAGCCGGAAACGGCCATATGCCTGGGGCCAAAGGGGGGCGTGGGTCCCATTTTGGGCCCACCAGTCACCAACACTCGCCTGCCCTCCCATTTTCGCAGCGGGACCCGAGTCTACCACATCGTCGTTCCCCCCGTTCCGCCACACTCCGCTGCCCGAGACCTCCGATTTTCGCCCACCTAGTGCATTTAGCCAGCACCTGGACGTACCACACCTTCCTAGCTCCAATTATTACCTGAACACACGCACATCAACTAGGCCGTTCGGAGGATGGGTCGTAGCGTTGGAGTGGGTTTTATGGTTTTTCGGGGGGATTCTTGGGATTTGGGAAACCGGAATCTGGGATTAATTAAGTGATGTTTTAAGTCATTTGAACGGGAAAGACCGAAGGATCGGGAAGGTATCCGTCTCGTAATAGCCACTTTTCCATTAATTTGCATAGTTAAGGCTACAGTAACGTGAGGAACAACGAAACCTGGCGGTCCAGTCCAGCTCAGGATTAATTTTTGGGGCTTCGAAAATGTGCTTTGAGATAAAGAAGCCGCGAGCTTACATTTTGATGCTAAGCCTTCGTGAAAAAAGCGCAACACTTCCAAAACTTGCGTTTATGTGATCGACCTAGTAGTTTATGAACGCTGAAGCTCGCAAGATAGACCACTTCCGGGCTATGGTCAGATTTTGGAAATTAGAGCTTTTTGGAACTGTCTTTGCAAATCTTTCCACAAAAATGCAGGTATTGGAATTCCTAATTCGTTGATCCGAGGTGTTGTTCAGCCTTACCTAAAAACTGCAATTCAAAATGATATTGCACGTATAAAAGTAGTAAGCGTGAACCAAGTACGGTTTTACTAAAAAGTTTGGATAGGATCCACTTCCTATATCCCATTTTCCTTTCAGCGCGAGGTCATCTCTATCCATGTCGGCCAAGCCGGCGTTCAGATGGGCAACGCGTGCTGGGAGCTGTACTGCCTGGAGCACGGTCTGGCCCCAGACGGGAGGGCCTGGGATGAGAGTGGTAGGTGAAATATCGATCCAACTCTTCAAAAAAGTTCCAAACCAACATTCGGTCGTATTAATCAATTCGGTATAATCAGCGAAACCGAGACTCCAGTTATAACTCGGGTGAAATGGTGGCCTGGGAGAAGCCAATTCTGATGACCTAACACCTTTGATCATTATGTTTTTCCTTTCCAGGACCTGACGATGACTCCTTCAACACGTTCTTCTCGGAAACGCACTCCGGAAAACATGTCCCGAGAGCAATTATGATCGATTTGGAACCGACACCAATCGATGAAATTCGCACCGGAACCTATCGTCACCTATTCCACCCCGAACAAATGATTACCGGAAAGGAAGATGCTGCGAATAACTACGCTAGAGGTAGTTTTTGACGAAGAAAATCAATATCGAACCGATAATTCAGCAATCAAATTTTTCATTGGAAGTAAAATACGCATTTCATCGACCGTATACCTATCAAAATTGCCTTAACTAGATAAGTTAAATTAAAGCAACGCGGACACGAAAAGCGTTCTAAGTCTAAACAAGATTTTGTTCATTTCAGGCCACTATACGATCGGCAAAGAAATTATTGACGTGTGTATGGAAAGAGTAAGGCGTCTGGTAGAACGCTGCAAGGGCCTTCAGGTATCTTAATATTACATTTCGATACATATCCACCAAAATTCAAGGGTTTTCTCGTGTTCCACTCTTTCGGCGGAGGTACCGGATCCGGATTCACGGCCCTGTTAATGGAACGCCTATCAGTGGATTATGGAAAGAAGAGCAAGCTGGAATTTTGTATCTACCCTGCTCCTCAAGTGGGTTTTAAAAAGGGTCTCGTATTGCGAGAACTTGGTAACTAGCAGGGTCCTTTTCGGAATATACTTCGAATAAATACAATCATGAGATTTATGATCGAAAGCTAGCTACTTTCTAGGTATCCACAGCCATGGTAGAACCCTACAACTCAATCCTAACAACGCACACCACTCTTGAACATTCCGATTGTTCTTTTATGGTTGATAACGAGGCGATATACGATATCTGCAAACGAAATCTGGACATGCAACGCCCAACTTATACAAATTTAAACAGGCTTATTGCTCAGGTATCGATTTTATCGTAAAAAGTTTCGTTAATCCTTTTTTAAAGCATATTTTCTATCATGCACTAAACAATACTTTACAAATTAGGTAATCAGCTCTGTCACAGCCTCACTGCGTTTCGATGGTGCGCTGAATGTGGACTTGACGGAATTTCAGGTTTTATAAAACGTTTTGGTGCACGTTTTCACTGATTTTTAGACAAATCTCGTACCCTACCCAAGGATTCATTTCCCTTTAACGACCTACGCTCCGATTTTGTCAGCGGAAAAGGCTTTTCATGAACAAATGACGGTTGGTTGTCAAATTTCAGAGCTACGACTAACAAATAGCGCGAAAAAGCTCATAATTTTTGTTGAAAATTCGATTTGATCATAAAACATTCCAAACTCGCAGTTTTTGTTTTGTGAACCTTTCAATGTAGATTATACAGCTACAAACACGGGAAAAACTGAAATAAAGTATTTTAGCTTCAGTAATAGCACTTCTACACTTTTTCAGGTAGCCGAAATCACACAGCAATGCTTCGAGCCGGGCGCCCAGATGGTCAAATGCGATCCGAGGCATGGAAAATATATGGTAAGCCAATAACTTTATATCCTACTATGTGTAAAAATGATTCAAGTAAAAAGCATTATCTAAAATTAAGAATATTATACACAGAGTACTAATAAAAGCATACGGATTAGCATCAATAAATTCAGGCGTGCTGTCTACTCTATCGAGGTGATGTCGTGCCAAAAGACGTCAACGCAGCCATCGCCCATGTCAAAACCAAGCGAACTATCCAATTCGTTGAATGGTGCCCGACTGGATTTAAGGTAAGTAGGGCACGCATCGACTTAAAAATTGCTGTCGAAACAACCGGAAGTCAATATGCTAAAATTAGTCACTGAAATTCAGGTCGGAATCAACTACCAGCCCCCAACCGTCGTCCCGGGCTCGGAATTGGCAAAGCTGCAACGAGCCGTCTGCATGCTCTCAAATACGACGGCAATCGCTGAAGCCTGGGCAAGACTGGATCACAAATTCGACCTCATGTATTCAAAACGAGCGTTTGTACATTGGTAAGTAAGCGAAAACGCTTTAAAAGTGATACTGGCTTCAAAAATCCATCAGAATCAAGTCGTGACCACCCGGCCGCTCCAGGATTTTGTATTTTGGCTGCCCCATGGCTTACAGGGCTGTAAAGTATACTAAAATGTTCGTCTTGCTTTGGCGAGTATTTTCGTATACTTGACAGCGCCTTAGCAGGACGAGGAGCCGAGATACAAAACTTTGGAGGTCGGCGTTGACCGAGAGGTAGCTACAGTCACACCTAGACGGACTTGGAAAACTAAAATCTAGTTAATAGGTATCTAAAACCTCGAATTTTCGGTGCTAACCAGTCACTGAATAAATGAAAAACTAAATTCTTACTAATGTATTAAAAGTGAGTCGAAAAAGGGATATTTTTTAGGTATGTTGGTGAAGGTATGGAAGAAGGTGAATTCTCGGAAGCTCGCGAAGACTTGGCAGCTCTTGAAAAGGTAAGTTTTTTTTTAAAAAAACACTAAAGCTATAATTTCTTTCTTATTAACAACGTCAAAAATTCCACTGTTGTTATAGGACTACGAAGAAGTGGGCCTCGACACTCAATCCAGCCAGGAATTCGACGACCCCGAAGATCATGTGGAATATTGAGCGTAGTAAAATACTTTTTTCACGTTGTAAACAAAATGACAGTCTCATTCTTTACCCTCATAGCCAAAAACGTTGATTAGGTATCGTATTTCCGGTGGCGTCGGTCCGTGCCAAGCCGCGTGACTGAAAAATATAAGAAAATCGTTGCTAGCGAAAACCAACCTGAAGAAGACGAACCCCATGAAAAGACCCAGCATGTGAAATTCGAAATTTTCTGAATAAGCTTTCTCATTAATTCCCGAGATTGAAATTTACAAATTTACTGATACCTACCCGCCAAAATTCGTTCTCGTCCTTCTTGCCAATCACGTACGAAGATCCAGACGTAGCGCACGCCGATGAGCAGTAAAATATCTAGAGAGAGGTCCATTTCGGATAGGTAAAGATAATCGATAAGGCAAGCCATCAGGCTGATCGAGGCGGCATAATTCAAATCGATGCCCGCGGGCAATGTAAGATGGAGCGGGATATCAATGGAGCATCGGAGGTGGTTCTGTAAAGAGTACCAAAGCGATATCTCAGTATTATTAAAACTAAGCATATCCTAAAGATAGTACTACGATTTATCCTAAAAGGACCTTACCTGTTCAGGTAAACATTTCTTCTAGTTTCCAGCATCTTCGTCATCCATCGTTGACAAAGAACGACGAAAGAACTTGGCTGAACTATAAATTTCGCTTTACGATATTTCCTCAAAAGATGAGTTTTCAAATGGAACCGCTTTATCTCACCGAGCTACACCGTTTCAGTTGGAAAAACTGGGGCTTTATGCACGTACTGTATAGCGTACGACCCATTTTTGCAAAAGCTTGGCTCCAGAATGCTTACACGGGAGCTTTTCAACCGAAAACGTACTAGCTCGTCGAGATACACCGCTTCCAGTCCAAAAATAACGTTGCAGGGACATAACGTAAGGCGAAATTGCCCAAAATTCCCTAGCTTCCAGCACTCGTGGTCTACTTTTCGCAACATCATATCCTAGATAACTTTCCTTATATCGTATTGCATCATGGCGCCGTAAAGCTAAACTTAATCACGTAGCCGTCGCGACCCACGCCTCAATTCAATCAACAAGTCACATTGCCAAACTGTTTATTTAAAAGTTTAATAACAACGTAACGAAAGAAACATGCTAGAAGCGAGAAATGGATCCGTATTTGCATCACGGGAATTATCAATCAACAATTTAAAGTGTAAATTAAGCAAACTGAGGGGAGAGGAGAAGCTAGACGTCGGGGGATCCAGTGTGTTGAACAGCAATCGAGCGTGTGGATCGCTTGGACGGGATGATGGGCGGCTCGAAGATGGCGCTGGAGGTAGAAGCCGTGGAGGCGGACGGAACCTAAAATCGATAATTATAATAGCTCGTTTAAAAGCAAAAGAAAGTTATTTAGTACTTCCTGGTAACGAGCTTTTTCCTTAGAACCCCATTTTGCGAATATAAATAGAGCAAGAATTTATACATAGTTTTTACTATTCCTAACGCGTAAAAATTACGAAATGTTATTAAAAATACAAAAAATGCTGGTTTGTCGAGCAAAACTGGCCGATTTTCGATTCAAATATCAATTTACGCATTTTTCTAGACTTTATCATCGTCTTCAATTATAGTTTATTTAGGAAAGTCCGCTCGTCCCTGCAAACGCTAAAAAACTTCATAACCAACCATATCAATCTCAACCTCTTCCAGCTTGAACACGGGCAGTTTTCCAGCCTTCACATCCGGTAGCGACTTTTCAGACGGCGGCACTGGCAGCGAAACTTCAGCATTCGTGTCCATCGGCTCCTCACTGTTGATCTCGACGCTGGTAGCGGTTGGAATTGGAGCGGAAGCGGGCGGGGCAGCCTAAAACACAATTTTAATAGAATCTAGCTAAAAACTACCTCGGCTTTAGTTCCCTCCTTCGGCGCCGTCAATTCGACTCCATTCTTGATCTCCGCTGAAAAAAAACGGTTCTGAGCATATCCGAAGCTTAGGATCCGATTTTTCTAATATAAATAGCGCAGCTACAAAACAAGAATTTTTCTAAACGGACTTTACTATTTTGAGGTGTATACACTTTGAAAATCGAATAAAAATCCAAAAAATATCGATTTTTCGGCCACCATTTTGACTCAAAAAGTACTTTTACGTTTTTTATTGCCTTTCCATTGGAATTATAGTTATTCCCCCATTAATATTTGACTAAAACCCCCATTAATATACCTTATTCCACTTTATAATGTGCGTTTATAAACTTAAAGGAAAAAATCCCCCTCAGATAACGCGAAAGTACCAAAAAAAAGATTAATTTTAACGATAAGAAACCCACGAAAATTCGAAGCGTCCATTGCCTGCTCGCCTTCCATGGTCACAACGCCAATGTCATCCGAGCGTGGCTCGGAGGGAACTTCCGAGGTCTTCCCGGATCCCACGACGGCGATCCGTGCCATGTGCGGAAACTTGTGGCCGCGCCTAGAGCCGGTACTAACCTGAAAAAGAAGACATTCAAAGGTTTTAAGCAACAAAAATGTACCTTCTTGTTAACGCGCATCATGCGATTTTTCGGGATCACCTCCGCTGTTGGAGTCGGCATTGAGAAGCCGGGGAACCGAGGATTGGGCACCGGCTTGCGAGCGCTTTGGCGCCGTGGGGTCAGTGTACGGCCACGCTGGGTGGGCGTTCTAAAATGTAGAGCAAATTACTACATTTAATTCGAATGCAAAAAGGGTTGGTTGGTTGGTTCATTAGCGGGGGGAAAGGGCCAGGAAAATGCGAATCTCTTTCTGGAGGTCCGTAAGCGAACATTTTTTAAACTTCAGTTGGCAGTTTTTTTAGAATTTGAGTAAACCTTATCAACTTCTAAAAAGACAATAAAACTATCTTATATTTTATTCTCGAGAAGGCTAGGCTGAATAAACGAACTTAGCGAACCCGCTACCGAACCAGAACAAAAAAAAAACAATTTAGAAACTCACGTAGCCTCTTGCTGTGCGCCTCGCGGTCCGAAATTTTTGCGATCGTGCTCAAAAGCGTTTTGCTCGCCGCCGGCCGGCTGCGCGTCTTCGTGCTGCGGCTGAGGCGGCTGCTGATCAACAACTTCAGCCTGGGCGGCGTTCGGATTGTGGACAGGCTGTGGATCAACAACTTCAGCCGAGGCGGCGTTCGGATTGTGGACAGGCTGCGGATCAACAACTTCAGCCGGGGCGGCGTTCGGATTCTGGACAGGCTGCTGATCAACAACTTCAGTCGGGGCGGCGTACTGATTGTGGACAGGCTGCTGTTGTTGCTGATGGGCGAGGACGATTTCAGCGGCTGGCGTCTGCTGGCCGGTCGGCACCGTAAAGTCTTGGGGCATGGTCGGCTGCGGAATTTCCGTGGTGACGACTGGTTGACGCTGTGGGCGCTCGGCGGGTGCGACTTGTGCGTACTGGTTGATGACCGGGTGATGTGGAGGAGGATGATGTTGCGGAGGATGATGATTACCTAGAATTCGTAGAGGTCATCAAGAAGTCGTAAAAAGTGTGATTTCCTTAAAAATCCAGTAAAAGTTAGCGTTTTGGCGTTTTCTAGCGTATTTTCATATTGTTCCAAGTATTTTGGTCCGCAAAAAGTCGTAGAGAACATTTAGAAAAGGTAATAAGCTTGAAATTCCGGCCATTTTGATGTTTTTATCTAAAAACTTCATAGTTTGGGCTATTAAAGGTCCTAGGGAATACTAGTAAATGCCAAAAGATTGAAATTTTGATAATTTTCGTACGCTTTACCAAAAACCACATTATGCGCAAATTAATAAAATTCGATTAGCTTTCTATACTTAAAACGTTGCTAGAAACAATGAAATGGTGTTTAGCGCATTACTTAGGCCCAGGGCGATTACTCCAAGGTAGTCCAGGACCAAAAGCATGCCATAAGCAAGCTATTCCTACCTTATATAATTTGGTCGCGTATCTTTGTGTGTGTGTGTGTGTCCGGCGCCAGGGAGGGCTACTTTGCATAATTCCAAAAAATACAAATTTCCTCATTCTTGCAAGTTGCACCGCGTGTGTGGTCGGATGAAGGGAGGATCCGAAGGACCCAAGCTATCGGGAAGTCAAATTTCTGATGCAAAGGCCGCATTCCAGCGCCCAAGGCCCGCGAAGCGGGTTTTGGGCGCTGGTCCTACCTTATATAATTTGGTCGCGTATCTTTGTGTGTGTGTGTGTCCGGCGCCAGGGAGGGCTACTTTGCATAATTCCAAAAAATACAAATTTCCTCATTCTTGCAAGTTGCACGCGCGTGTGTGGTCGGATGAAGGGAGGAGTCCGAAGGACCCAAGCTATCGGGAAGTCAAATTTCTGATGCAAAGGCCGCATTCCAGCGCCCAAGGCCCGCGAAGCGGGTTTTGGGCGCTGGTTTTACAATAAATAAATCTAAGGCTTTTTTTAGTTTTCTAACTTTTAAAAAATTACTCAAAAACGAAGCAGCTAGGTTTTCCGGGCCGGGGATGCTGATGCGGAACGTTAAAGCTGACCTAAAAACGACACCCTTCGCCCAAAAAACCCAGATAAAGGGCCCGCAAACGTTATTTTAAAAACCTAATAACAATTTTTGTTTTCTAAACGAAGCAGCTAGGTTTTATGGACAGGCCCGTTAAAGCAGGCGCCAAAAAGTATATTTTAACCCCCAGAAGGCTCGCCAGAACGTTATTTTGAGAATCAAAACCCATTCATCTTTGTCGGCTTTTGAAATTTCATAAAGACACTACAAAACCAACCAGCAACATTCTGCGGCACCACGCGCTGCACCCGATAGCGCGGGCCTGTCGGCTGGTGGTGCTGCCAGTGCTGAGCGGGTGGTGGACGAATTGGGTAGTGCGGCATTGGCTGCATGCCGGGTTGGCGGGGCGCAATAGGTGGGGCTTGTAGCACGTGAGCTCGAGTATCCCTGAAAATTGATAAAAATCGTCCAGAAAAAGCTTACAGCTGCAGCACGAGGTTATCAATGTAAGCTGTCTGCGCGCGCAGTCGCTGGGCGGCCGCGGCCATGAGTTGTAGCTGAAAATGAAGGATATTTAGGGAAAAGCGGAAGCTTACATATGACCTCGCAAAAAAACACTCTTTAAAGCGACAGAGAGGGTTTGGATCATCATGGTAGTTACACCATTAGAAAGCCCTTGAAACGGCGAGTTTGCAAAGATCTTCAAAAAATATATCTTTATGTCAATCGCGGTGTTATAACGCATTTGCAAAGATTGAGCAAGGGCCTCTAAATCTAATGGACGTCAACTTTCGGTCATTTTGCGCGGAGAAATTGAGGCAAATTGGCTGGTCTGCAACCCGGAAAAAACCCGAAAATTTAACAAAATTGCGTGTAAAATTTCACGTTCAAATAAAAAGATTGTTATGAAGCTTGTTGCAAACTCGCCGCTTCAAGGGCTTTCGAATGGTATAGATAATCCTGTTCCGATCCATATACGTTGAATCATAGGGGTGTTTTTATTAGGAGGCAATTTTTGAGCAAATTTTGAAAGTTATAGCGTTCAGGCGCTAGAGTGATCGAGCAATTTTGAAAAATTTCGAACCACAAACTTCGAGGGCTGGCTAGTTTGCTCAAACTTTACAAATTTGCTCGAACGCCGCACGCTGGAATGCTGGAACTAAAGAATTCCCCGCAAATGCAACTGCAACTGGTAAAAACCATATTTTTTAGAAGAAAAAGGCTCACCACGCCTCGTGGACGCGGGCTGTTGACTGGCAGATACTCGCGGTGGCTGCTGTCGATGGCCACGGCGAGCGCGTGGTGAAGAGTAACCTAAAATACGTTTTAAACACGCCGAAAATGTACCTCGTGACGCATCAATGCATTCGGGTCGATGTTGACGGCGTTTCCCTGGGGCGGGATGTCTCTACTCGTGGAGACACGTCGACGACGTGGATCTCCTCGTCTTCGAGCCTCTCTTGCGACAGGGTGCTGTTCATTCTGAAATGTAAATATCTATTAAAACCCAGATTAACACACGAAGGAAAACCGAGAAAAGATCATCTAATACGTAAATGCTGAGTGCGCAAAAGTCGAAAATTCACAACCATTTTTTGAGCGACCTTTTTTGAAAAAACCTTTATGTTCTGTGTTAAAATACATACTTTTCGGGATGTATTTTTTCGGGCAAAAAGAATATGGCGGCTTGCACTCGAAAATAACTAGCTTTTTGATATAAATTCCGCTCCGATATTTTTAATTCTCATACAAGTTCCTGCATAGTTTAACTTAAAATTTAGCGCGTAAAAGTGTACTTGGTGACATTTAAGCTCTACAGAATAAAACGATTAGAATTCACGAAGTTCAGAAACGAATTCAAAAGAATCCATCGGTCGTATGTCGTCTCCACCGTACACTGAATGAGCGCTGCAGGAAGCGGAGGTGAGCCTGTCAACTGTAGTAATTGGGAATTCCAGCAAGCGCACCGATTTATCCTCTTTTGTACCCCATTTTTGATAGAATTCCAACGATTTCGAACATTTTAAGGGGCTACATGCTAGGAATTCGTCTAGGTTACGAGGCGAACAGCCGTCTTCGAGCCGATTTTCCAGGTACAGAGAAAGTTATGAGAAGCCATGAAAATAGAAAAACTCTCCAAAACAACAAACTATAAAGGACAACCTGTATAAAGCCGGGATTTCGGTCGTTAGTAGAAAA